TTTGTTCATTCTTAGGTAGAAAAAGACTGAATGAAACATGTATGAGGAAGAAATAAAATAAAGGAACAAAATATATTTGTAACCACATAATGGGTAAGCTCAGCATAAAGACACTTTATGGGTTATTGACATTGATCTAATAGTAAGAACATTTTTTGTCATGTAATGATCTAAGATCATATTCTGATCTGTGAAAAGATCTTTCATGTTGATTCAAGTTTGTTATTTAATAGGAATCTCTAAGGATGAGATTAAATCATGCAGTTATTTAATAAGTACATGTTTTTTTGTACATCATTGTCTTACTGCATTGAGATCTTTTTATCATGACCATAGTAGTATTTCTTTGATCAAGCTTTATGTAATATTTCCCAAGTTCTGTGATGTATTTTTGTCTCCTTGTTTTTGCTGATTAACCTTCAAGATAATGATCATGTTTATTTCAACTGTTCAGTAAAATTCATGAATAACAATTTAGGGGACATCTTTTGATTTGTGCTTAAATTTTTTTTACAGGTAATTGTATACTGTGCAATCACTAATTTTAGTGTGGTTAATTTTCGTTGTTTTTTGTTGTATAAAAAGACTCAGCAAATTCATGTCCTACATGAAATGTAAAATTTCAAATGCATCTTTACAATAATGAAATCAAATCATTACAGACAGACCTTTTTTCCCTCAAACAATGAAAATTAAACCCCATGAAAATATATAATTTTACATAATTCAATTGGTTTGACATGCAAACACAATGTATCAAAGTAGTCTTTTTTTTTCATTTTTTTAATTACAAAATGATGCTTGGATGCATGCGACATTGACCAAATCTGTAATGTACATTTCAGAAGCTGTTGTAAAAATCTTTATAATAAATTATTTTTGAAAGTGAATTTTTTTCCCTATTTGAAAGAGAAAATATTCTGAGTGCTATGATAATAAAAATGTTCATCCACTTTTTTAGCTCACCTGAGCTGAAAGCTTAAGTGAGCTTTTCTGATCACCCGTTGTCCGTCGTCCGTCTGTCCAACTGTAAACTTTTCACATTTTTGACTTCTTCTCAAGAACCACTGGGCCAATTTTAACCAAACTTGGTACAAAGCATCCTTTGGGTGAAGGGGAGTTTAAATTTTCAAAATGAAGGGCCAAGTCCCCATCAAAGGGGAGATAATCAAGATAATACAATAATTGGGTGGGGTCATTAAAAAATCTTCTTCTCAAGAACCACTGGGCCAGAAAGGCTGTAACTTATGTGGAAGCATCCTGGGATAGTGTAGATTCTAAATTGTTCAAATCATGACCCCCGGGGGTAGGGCGGGGCCACAATAGGGAATCCAAGTTTTACATTGAAATATGTAAAAATCTTTATAAATCTTCTTCTCAAGAACCACTGGGCCAGAAAGGCTGAAACTTATGTGGAAGCATCCTTGAGTAGTGTAGATTCTAAATTGCTCAAATCATGACCCCTGGGGGTAGGGCAGGGCCACAATAGGGAATCCAAGTTTTACATTGAAATATATAATAAAAATCTTCTTCTCGAGAACCACTGGGCCAGAGAAGCTGAAACTTATGTGGAAGCATTCTGGGGTAATGTAGATTCTAAATTGTTCAAATCATGACCCCCGGGGGTAGGGCGGGGCCACAATAGGGAATCCAAGTTTTACATTGAAATATGCGGAAAAAAATCTTTAAAAATCTTCTTCTCAAGAACCACTGGGCCAGAAAGGCTGAAACTTATGTGGAAGCATCCTGGGGTAGTGTAGATTTTAATTGTTCAAATCATGACCACAATAAGTACTACGGGGGGGGGGGGGGGGGGGGGAGTTGAGAGAAATCAGGTGAAAATAAACAGCAAGGCCAAAGTTACTCAGGTGAGCGCTGTGGCCCATGGGCCTCTTGTTTGCAATTGTATGAAGATTTGTCTGCATGGCATGGCGTAATTGCAACTGTTTTTATAATCCATCTACAGAAAAATATTACTGGTCCATCTCTGTTATACATGTAACTTTCTAGCTAACGTGAGACTTTGGCTCAGATTTTTTCTAAATTTTTCACAATATCATCTTCCTCTCCAGAACCACTGGGCCAATATTTCAACCTTAACTTGGCACAAAGTATCCTTGAAAGTGAAAGAGATTATACCTGTTCTAATGATGTGAAGGACCATACACCTTCTTCCAAAGGAAATAATGAAGAATTACTGCAAATTTAATGGTATCATTTAATTTCTTCCTTTCAAAAACCACTGGGCCTGAAAAAGTGAAACTTATATAAAAGCTTTATTACAAAAAGTGGACTCAAGTTCCTTGAAATCATGACCACCCCAAGGATTAGGATGGGGCCACAATAGGCAATCAAATTTTTATATAGGAAAAATCTCAAGAGCAAAAAAGCTGTGATTTATCATATTTTAGTGGAAGAACTTTTTGTGGTGTAGATTCAAAGATGGGCGAACAAGATGAGCAAAATGTTTATGGTGCGACAAACATGAAGGTGAAAAATTAAATTTGAATTAAAACAAAATATTCTTTGATATTTCTTCTAAGATCTTATGTAATCTATCCACAATTTGCAAAAATCTTACGATGAATTAAATTATTTAATCTATGAAATACTGTGAAATCACATTATTTTCATGGGGTAAAAATTTCAAGATTTGAAGAAAAATATTGATTCTGGGGTTAAGTTTCGTGGTTGGAGAAGTGTTGAGTAGTTGTATTTGAAATTTTGCATTTCGAGTGGACATGAATTCATGGGTCTTTTCCTAGTGATTTTACAGTAGCATACACACAACAAAGAGGGCAGACATGATCATTTTCTCGTAAGATTTATAACACAATTTTCCCATACATATATGAGTTAGGCTTAGCTCCTTGTTTTTTTGGAAATTTTGTTGTCAAAGTTTGCGTAAAAATATACATTTTTTACTTTAAAAAAAATGGAGCAAAGACCCACTATACCTTATAAATTTTTTTGTCGATAAATTTAACAAAGAAAAGTTTTTTCATAATTTCATAAATTTCAATAATTATTAGAATTTAATTCTAAATATTAAATTCCAAACTAAATATGATGTTTATATATCTGAAGCCATATGCATTCTGCACACCTTGTTTGCCTTCATCTTTGTTCAGATCATGACCCCCCAGGGTAGGGTAGAGCCTCATTAGGAGATGAAAGTTAACAAAGAAAAAATATTGCTCTCAACAACAGCAAAGCCAGTCATATTTATATAGCAGCAACCTCAGGTAGTTAAGATTAATCATGGCTATGGGAGTAGGGTGGGACCACAATAGGAGAGATTACTTAGAAATATATAGGAAAATTCTTCCTCCAATAAACAGTCAATTAACTCAAAGACTATAAAGTTGTAAGCTGTATGAATTTATTTAAAAGACTGAAATTGGGAAGAGGTGAGCATAACAAATTCCAGAACACAATCTTAAGGACATACGCAACGTAGTTTGAACTTTATTGTCTTTTTCCCTGGAGTTGAAGAGTTCCAATACTTAAAGGAACTGTGTGCTGCATTTTAATGTCTATATATTCTGTTGTACACTTCTTCTAAAACAAGTTTGGATAAACAAAACATCTAGAATATATGTTTAGTAATTTTCATATATTTTTCTTTGAATTATGCAAGAATTTTCATCAATTGATATCTTTTTAAAACCCCTGGTAATGCATGCTGATTTTTTGTCTATGAACATCTGATGGCACTATAATCTTAAATTAAGAATATCTTGAAAAATTATCAGTAGGTAAGGTACGTTGCGTATGTCCTTAAGATCTAACCATAAAGTTGATAACATGTACATGTAAATAACATTGATATCCTTTATAAACATATGTAAATCGATTCTGAAGCACTTTAAAGCTAGTCAAGAGTTTGTCTTAAAATAGTTAAAAAATGGAGAGTAAAAATGGTACGTAATGCTAACATCCTGTAGGACAAAATTGATTGGTGACATTAACATCTTGAAAGCTCACCACTTATTTCCTAACTGTTTAGATGAAGAATTTCTCAAGAAGACACATGATTATTGACTTTGAACTATAAAATTTATCGAGTAAAAAGGAAATCTATTTGAAAAAATTACATTCACACCTGATATCCTAGCTTATACACACACCAGTTAAAACAAAATCTTACTGTAAAACAGTCTAAAATTATAACCCCTGAAATCTACTAGACCGTGATTTTCTTTAATATACAGTATTTCATCAGAACAACACATTAGTTTAGCTTAAGGACAAGCTATTTAACAGGTTCTGTTTGTAACAATGCATAGCATAAAAAGGGAGAAAACTTGAGACAATTAACTTAAAACTAAAATTAATTTTAAACAAGAACAAAAGTAAAATCATTAAAAAATTTACATGAAAGAATAAATACCGGTACAATTAAACAATTAAACGGTGCAATTAAACTTGTATTATTCAATGGATAAAAGAAAAGAAGACATCAACTATCAGTCAATTGATGAGAAAAAGATCACAAAGCCAAATTTTTGCCCTGTTCACATGGAGAGTTTAATTCGAATTAAACGTAAGTTACTGCGAATTAAATTTGATCTGCGTTCACACGGAGAATCTAATGCGAATTACTTTAATTCGAATTAGTTTACTGCGCATTAATTACTTCGCATTAGCTCCGTGCGAACGCTAAGCGAAGCTAATTCGAATTAAATTTTGATGCATGCGTAAGGGCAGAATTAAGTCACATGCCACATGTCGAATGTCAAATATAGGTACTTGTGATATTTTTTAGAGGAAAACAAAGGAAGGTTATGTTAATCACTAAATTGTGTACAGACAGTATGACATTATATTATACTTTCATGTAAATTAGTTGAATCTAATTCGTTGAGAAACATTTGTTAAAAAACACTATTATCCGCTGAATAATGAAGCCACGCCCACCAGCGTAGGAACAGTTAACACTGCTTGACGACGGGTGTTATTCCAAAAAATATTGACTGCGCAGAATTCATGCGCGCAAGGTTCACTGTGATATGTATTTGTATAAAACATTCAGTATTATACATTTATTGACTGCGTTCGAGGGCAACATGCATTTTGTCAGACCCAAGAACCAAACTGTTTGCCTGAGGCCTTTAGGCCGAAGGCAAACAGTTTGGTTCGAGGCCAGGGGTCGACAAAACGCATTTTGCCCGAGAACACAGTCAATAAATGTTTTGTTATACCTTTTAATTTATTTATTTTATTATTCTTTTTTTGACATACATGTATGTCGAACACTAACGAATGCAAATGAGATTTAGCTGACCCCGCCCATTATGTGACGTAAGCGGTCCAACATCTCATCGACAGGTCCAATATCTCACTCCTCGGTCAAACATCGATTTTTTTATGCCCGCTCAGTAAAACATTGGAAATGTTAGACTTTTATTAGTAGTGATTTATACAGGAACAAATTTTTAAAGGTATAACAAAATATAATAAATACTGCATGTAGTTGAGTGTAACATTGAAAATTTAAATTGAGAATTTCTATAATTGAAGTCACAGTGAAAAAAAAAACAACAACATTTTTTATACATACCAAAGACATACACACATGCTTTCAAAAGAGGGATTAGAGTATTACGTAAGTAAAGTAAGTAATAAAGTATGTAAGTAAAGTATTTGTTATTAACATGTGTCATATATGAGATGCTATAAAATATTTTTTTCACAATTTTAAAACATTCCTGGTTGTTTCCTCCATCTTTTATAAAAGCTCCTGTTCTCAAAGCATCTTTGGAAAAACATTTTCAAGTTAACCATCTTTTTAAAATGATACATTACTGTAATTTTTTTTCTATAATACAATAATTGTTAATCAAGATACAATAAACTTTTAATAGCACAATTAAAAATTAAACAATTA